TGTGCATCCAACATTCTCCTTGGTCTTAGATGATGCCCAGTACATTCCTAGCAGCGCCGTCTTAAACGCAGACAAGGTGGCGTTAGTTACTCCGGTTGGGATTGTCTTTAGAGAGTTTTAAAAACTCACAGTTGGCATCGGGGTGCATCTTTTCTAGTCGTCTGCTGAACCCACGCCTGATTATTAGAGGAGCTAGCTGCGTTGAAGTGAGGATAAAGAGAGATACGCTTTATTTTAAAAATATAGTTCCAAAATGCTCAGGCGAAAACGTTCTCCGTTTGCCGTGAATAAAACATGCTCCAGAAACCACACAAAACCGAGGAATGGCAAGCGACGTGTAGCGGCCAAATACTGCAGTTTTCAACATCGTGGAGATATGTTCTTGAACATTTCGCGAAATCTAGGCCAAAATTGAACTTCCTTCAAATCGGCGCTAGCCTCGTGCGCCTACGACCTCATTGTTGTAGTTCAAGCAAACAATGAGGGGTAAAAGTAGGTTTCTACTGGGCACACTGGACCAATCGATGCATTTACATAACAGATCGGCGTACGCGTATCTGCTTCTGTATGTTCTTGACCTAATACCGTCAAGACTGTGGGCTCGTAGCTCAATGGTCAGGACGTTTGCCCTGACGGGAGAGATCGCGAGTTCAAAACTCGGGTGTGGCAGCAATTTCAGCGGCAACACTCTGAGTCGGGTATCACTAGCTGATGATGCCTAATGAGGCAGAAGTGGGCATTCTAGTGTTCCATGTCTTTGTCGGAAATGTCGTTCCACATAAGAAAATATACATGCGAACGAAGGGAATAAAACAAAATGGTAGCTCAATTTCAAAGGCCCACAATGTACCATGGTATACATTAGACACAAGCCCTCAAAGATTACTCAAGAAATGCAGCTTACGAATTGGGGAAGTGATTTCGAAACGGAATACCCATACGATTAATTGAATTAGTTGGTAATGCCAGAAAGCATCCTTATTAAATCAGGAAGGGGAGGAGCGAACGGCGATAATGGGTTTCCTTCAACCAAATGACCTGTCTCCATCTTTAAAGAAGAAAGGATCCACAGGAGATTGGAGAGAGAACCAGTGACCGCTTATTCGTAAGAGTCACCTTCGGTCTTATTTAAATATTATAATTTTACTTAAGGCCAGCT